CCCCAGTCCCCTGAATGCGAACCAACGATTTTTGTACCGTTTGTAAAATACGTCTTTTACGTAATTCGACGTCCCGCTTCGAAGATGCTCGCTCGATGGGGTCGTTTTAAAAAGCGTCTTGATAACTCGATTGCTCCCTTTGGGGATCATTGTCGGCTAAGACCCGTAGCAATACATACTCACACACATACAAACAAACGAATACACAATTTTCGCGTATTTTATAACGTTCGGATCCGCCACGGATTTGTGTAAATACCGCGGAACTTATCGAAAGCTGAGGACGAATCTCCTTGTCAATTTGCAGTGTCGATTCACACACGTACAAGCATAAACACGCGAACACGAACACGTAATTAAAACACTAACTCGTTCTATTATAATTCTACCAGGCGTTCTCTTCTAATTCTGTCCGAAGATCGTGATCAGGCATTTTTCTAATTGTCAGGTGGGATGTGAAAGGCAATACTTCGGATCGCGTAACACACGATTATATATTTAATGTGAATAAAATTACATTTCAATCGAAGACTATTTTTCTTCCCAACTCCTTCATATCCGATTTACTCACACACCCTGTGCGTCTCGTGCATACGGTTGCACCAATCCCACATACCCGAAGGGTGTACAGAAAAATCCATACACGAATCGATCGATCGATCGAAATTGAAGCAATTTAATTTCGTTTCAACGTCGGATTAAACGAGTACTCGACAACCAAGTACCTTCGTTCCATGATAATTCTTGCAAGCTCAGACACAGAGGACTTTGCGAACCGATCAATATCAATATTATCTTTCCACTGAAACTAAAGCCTTCAGCTCCTATCCCTATTGCTATCTTTAGCCGAAGACTGTGTATAGTCGTTGAAGCTAGAAACCTGTAACACCGATACCACTGTATAAACTTCCCAGTGGCTCGCAATATCTCATCACCCTTAACGTGCCAACCCCGCGCGTCTCTAATCCTTGATCCTTTTCGTTCTAACTGGAATAATCGTTGCAGCCGGGACAGAAGGCGATGGTTGTAATTGAATTGACACGACTCTGCGATATCGTGCACACTGCTAGACGAAGGAGATTTTGCAACAACATCGACCGGGGAGGTTTGCAAGGGGATAGACTTCAGCCACTTAAATTTTCGCTGCGATAGGGTCGCGGCTATAAATACAAAGTGCATGCATGCGCATTATTCGCGCTCCAACTTGCACCACCTTTTCATGGACAAGGCTACCGGGCAACGATTAGTCACAGTACACCGATCATCGGCTCTTTCCGTTCGATTGAGCCTCGTTGCACAATATCAGAGTGCAGTTTTTTCGCGCGAGCCGTGAAAGAGTGCATCAACACTCGTTATTTAGGAAAACAGGCAACAGGCTGATCCTTTTTGCGCTTTGTTTTATTGGCCAGTCGTTCATCGGCGGTTCGAAATTTCAATGAAGAGTCAATGAATCACGCAAGGTTGATATCGCGAGGAAATTTCAGAGAAGTAGATCCAATCTTTTTCCTTTTTCTTTCTTTCCACTTTTGGCGCAGGAAAATGAGATACCGAGGGCGACATCCATTTAATGGACGCGTGCTGCATAATTAAAAGTCTCTGGGGAATAATCGTGGGATAAAAATAGTAGAAAAGTTTCCATCGAAAAAAAAGGTATCGTGCAAGTTAAATGATGCTTAAAAGATTACACTGGGTTGACAGTTTTTGGGGAGAATTAGATATTTAAAGAAGCTTGAGAACCAGCCAACTGTTTAACGAACGTGTACCGAATAATTTAACAAATTCTGAGACAGATGACTGTGGGATAAAAATGTTGAAAAATTTCCTGCCCAGAGAGGAACGCGTGTGCCGAGAAAATATTGCGGAATGGCATAAAATTTACGGTGCAATCGAACGCGTGACGTGCAAAGTATTCGCGGAAATTTGGTCCGGGATAACAAAGCACGAAATTCCCCTCTATCACTCTGCCAGAATCGGCTTCAATAATTCACCAGTCTAATCGATATCTCTCCGAATTGATCGTGAAATATTCATTCCGGAAGTGGTCCGTTCGCGTATGTACAATATAAAACGATATCAATTCGCTACGGATTGTTTCATTCTCGCTATTTACGAGCCCGAAAAGTATTACAAGATCGATAAAATTTCGAAATTTTTCCATACTTTCTCCCCTAGCTGCGAGATATTCGTCTCCTCCCTTTTCTCCCTTGCCAACGGTGTCCGAGGACGAGAATTTCCAACGGGTGGAGAAAAAAGCTTCCACGAGGCTGAGTCCACGGGATACATAGTTATCTTCACGAGGGGACGAAGAATTTGTTACGTAAATGAGTTCTTGACCAAGCAGAGGCGCGTTATCGAGATCGAGTAGAGCCCTCTTTCTCTCCTAATGATACCGGCCTAATTAAGTCTTGCTTGATTTTAATCAACCCCCGACACTACGTGCCGAGCAGTTTAGACAATGTTGCCGGCAGCAAAATAAAAGGGGACTGGCCTAAATACGTCGCCTTTCACGACTAGATAATTAGTGACAGCTTCTGTAATCAGCTGTTCGACGTTTGTCACGTGGAACAGACTCGTGTGTCGCTTTTGCGACTGATGGACAACGGAAAATTATAGAATAGGTATAGAATGCTCCGACAGAGCGGTGGACGAATTGAATGAATTTTCCTAGGTATACGCGTACAGAGTTTTCGTCGATGGTCCTGCGACGTATTCAGAATCCTTGATACCGATCGCTATATATTCGAGGATACGAACTATAGAGAAAATGCGGTTTTGGCCGTGCTCCAAAAAATGGGATTGTATCTCATCGGGTTAGCATATACGTGTGTATTTGGGTAGAACGTAACACGGGGAATTTCAGGAACCACCAGGACTATCCTAATCCTTCCCGACACTTTCGTTCTACCATAATATTCGATACTCCTGGCAGGAACTGGCAATTGTAATTAATTCCAAATCGCGCGGAAATTAATCCGAAATTTATGAAACACGGTGCCATTTTCAATTATGTAATACTTTATGTTGATCACGAGAATACGATTCTTGGGAGAAACTAGCAATTACGATTACATTTGCCTTCAAAAGGAGACGTCCAGGACCTACACAGCGAATTCAAAGTTTAAGATGGGAGAGCGAAGTGCCATTTTCATTTAAATTCCCTTTTCACTGTAAACGCGTAGCAGTCGTCGAGAGAAATTGCCAATCGCGATGCTACAAGGTTCTCCGCGGGGAAAATAACGAGAAGAGCGAATCTCCTATTTATAGTGGAAACGTAATTTAAGCAGAAGGAAAACAGAAGAAAGGGAAGGTTATTTTACGGCATTACATGGGAAAGCAAGGTTAATTGGCGTGTGATGTTTCTTTATAGGAGACACTTGCCGTTTATTACGCGACAGGACACGCTTGTTTCCTCTAATGCTCTTTTCTACTTAAAGCGGTGCATGTTCTCCCACGAGCACGACAACTTTCCACCAGACTTTTCGCGAAATCTCGCGCGTACCCTTGAAAGCCTCAAGAGCGCGAAACAATCCCTGTCAGAGAGAGCAATCTCCTTTTTACGTATTCTCCACGCGTTGCAACACCGGGGAAAGGAAGTTTCGGAATTTTATAGAAAGCGAAATCCGATGTTTATTTATAAGCTTAATGAAATACGAGAAATCTGAACTTTTCGTCGTACGATGCCTATCGGCTGGAGAAAATCGCTGATTAGATCGACAGGATGTTGCTTTATTTTGCGGAATATTATTTGCGAAATATCGCGAGAATTATCTGCAAGACGAGAAATAATCGACATCGTTATTTCGACAAACAATCGACGTCCAATGCGATAGAACGAAGCAGGGAAAATTAAAGTTCCTCGTTAAGTATTCGGGATTCTGGTTCCTTTGAACCGCGGAATGGAAGATCAAAGCGTCATTATCCAGGATTACCACGAATAAGTTCGCGGTAATATCGTACGAAAAAGATAAAACCGTCTCGCGAAGAACCTCGTTTCTTGCCAAATAAAATGCTCGAAAAAGCTAACAAAAGATCCAATAACGTTCCGATAAATCTAAAGAATCCTCTCCCTGACTCGACGCAATTTTTCCCAGAATTTCTCCATTTCCCTGTGCGATCCTCCCTCGAATCAATTCATTTCCGAGAAAAGCTGCTTCGAAAGGTTGGTAAGCATGTCAACCGAGCACCCCTCTGCTCGACGACTTCTATTTTGTTTTTCCCGGTTGGGTGCTCTCCCACGGAGACCAGGGTGCGTTTCTTATGCCGGCTAAACGGCGCCTGAAGACCTACTTCCCGACGTTCAAGGATACTCCGAGCATTAAGCAAGAAACCCACGCGAGCGTCTGGTATACCCACCCAAACTTGCATTTCACCATCAAATTCGCCGTATTTTATACAAACGATACATATCCACTTCCTCTTTCCAATATATTTCCCGTTTTACATTTTACACGACGATATAATCGAAAGTTGCTGCTTTTCGCGTCGCGAATAAGCAAGAGACAGACTTCGACTCTTTTCTTGCCAAGATGGAAATTGTACCGTCGATTCGAACGACATGGCGCGCCCATAAATTCGCGAAGCCTGAAAGTACAAGTGTCCCAAAACAGTAATTTAAAACACCGAGTGCGATATCAACTTAGGATGGATTTTTCTGCAACCGATGCGCGAAAAGTGCAAGTCCTTTCAAACGACCGAGATATTAAAATTATTTAATTGGTAAGTTGGTCACAAGTGGTGGCTAACGAACCAAGTTGAAATCCAAAGTTGATCGACTTTTCGAATAGCGTGGATAGCTGTTATTTGGGAAATAATCGCGGCTACCATTTGACACCTCGTGGGCCAGGTGTATTATTATAAGTCGTACCTAGTAGTTACCTATTTTCTAACTATTCTTAACTGGTACCTAGAAAGTACAAGCTGTTTCGTCAACAGTTGCTGACAGTGATCCAACCATAATTCGTTGATACTATACCATTCTCATGCCCAATTATTCTTGACTGATGCATGGAAGCCACCAGACGTCTTCCTGACAACCCCTATCTCGTCATCCTTCTACAATTTGTTAATACGACCATTCTTTACGAACACGCTGTACGACCGTGAGGAAAAGGAAGACACGAAGATGAAATACGGTAACCCTGAGCATACACCTGCGTGTCGATGTATTCTCGCGTGTGTACACGCTCGGTAGTCGTGAGGATAATCCAGTGGACTTGATCGTCCGGTAGCAAAGAGGATTTCGAAGCTGTTCGAGCAGAACTCGACACGGGCAGACAGTTTCGGATACATGCGCCCTCGCCCGTCTGCCATCATCTCAAATTGCAATCAATAGATAGGCGACGAGACGGCGCCGAAACGTGTCTTTATCCAACGTGGCCACAATGCAAATAGAGGGTGTCCGAAAAGTCACGCGACAAGGATCGTGCGAGCTTGCACACCCTGTTGTGCCACTGTTGTCGCTTTTCTCGTCACACGATTCCACGTGTTTGCTCGGCTCACCTCTGCCTGTTTGACTTCCCTGCGCTCGGCTTGTTCGACGTTTTAAATTGATCCGCGCCGAGGTGGCAAAGCTTCGTGCTAATATTGGGCAGATTTCCCTGCTCGACAAATTTAACCGAGTTTTCCGGATATTTCGGACAAACATTTCTATAAAAGTTTTAAGGTTTCTCGATCGTTGGAACATGCGAACTAACGGCCAATTGTAATTATCGGATGGACGCTATTGGGGTTGGTGGAATTAATTGGATTGTTTTTCCAGAAGGTATACGTACACGAGATGTAACAATGAAATTTGGCGAATGGATATTTTTTGACTCTTCGTTAATTAAGGATTGTATCGTGAATGTATATTCACGCGGTACAAATATATCGGTAATTTCGAAAGGGACATAAGTCGCATATGTTTCTGCGCGCAAAATCAAAGAATCACTGTCGACGGGAAAATTTTTATTTACGATTAAACTACTTCCACGATTAACAGGTACGAGTATCGCAATAAGTAGTATTACCCTAAACCTTGCCGAAATCGATTCTTCACGCCTCGTCACCGAAGCTGAAGAAAGTTCATCCGGTTCTCCGATGCATTAAACCTAACTGTGTCTCTTGGGAAGAAATTTCACGGCAATTCCTCGCTTCCCGACTAATTTTAGACACCGCTTCATACATCACGAGGTACGATCTGTACGTTTAAGAAATTAGAAACGATCTACCGTTTAATGCATACCGCATCGATCATGCCTCGTCTTGTTACGATAATAACCTTCCCACGGTATTGTAACTTTGCTCGTTCGAACGGCAACGTGAAACGTTTAATAAAAACCCGCTTGCAACTCCGCGTACAATTTTCGTCGCTTTATTCCCTATATATGCCCCCTATTAATTCTCCGACTCGACATATTTCCGCAGAAATATTCGACAAATATTTTATGCAACCTTGACAAAAGATGAAGGACCTCCGACTCGCGAAACGCGGAATATTTTTTCGTTGTTTTCCCATTACGCGTACAGGCCTTTTCAAAGCGTTCGTATATTCGACCGCGAAATTAACACCGTACCAGTTCCGGTGGCACCACGGCAAACATATCGTCCGCCTTTATGAATTCATTTCGCGACGGCGTGGATTCTCCGCGCGGATAACAAAGTGCGAGCGTCGAGGCGCCGAGTAATGAAATTTAATCTCAGGGGCTTTAAAATTTTTCTGAAAGCCACGGGAACGCGGTAATTTTCGTCGTTATAACGACCCGAGTGCTCTGTGTTCCTCTCCACCCTTTAATTACTTCGATAAACAGTTGTTCCCTCGCGCGAAACGCGATCAAATGCGGTGGCGGTGTAATTATCGAGAGGAAAGAGGGATTTAAACACCCTCCAGGTGCCTTCGTCTGCGTTGCGGGATATGAAACGAGAGAAGGAACACAGAAGTATCGGAAAATATTCTCAAACTTTCGAGACACGACGGTGGTGAACTCCGCTGCGAACGTATTTAATCACGAGTGTAGTCCGCTAGGGAATCGGTTATAGCGGACACCTAGTCCGCCTTTGAAATTTCCTATACTTTCTCCGCGTGTTTCAACGATATTCCGACAAACGATATAAAAATCAGAATAGACGCGAGATTAAAATGAACGGAACGCAATTGCTCGCGAGAAACATGCAAAATTAATTTCACCAACAAACCAGAAAGATATTCTTCTCGAGCCTCCTGCCTATCTTCGGCGTATTGAAACAAGATACGGAAAATGGAAACATACGTGACACGGGAGAAACAAGTTCCTAAACAGAATATATAACATCGAGCCTGTCGTAAGATCAAACTTCCGACCAGCAACTTCCATCAAACCACCCCAATCCACGCAACGAGCCTTGCCAGCCCTAAAACTTTCACCTTCCAAACCCCCGATCCCCTACTACCACCCGCCAACCCCTATCCGAGACCCTCCGACATCTCTGGACCCCTAAAGTACACATGGATACATTTGAAAATTCGCCAAGCTACTAAACCATTCCCCCGCACATCCCTCCGCGGGAGAGCCATAAAATTCAGCCTTGAAAAGGAATATTTGCAAGCATCGACGGCGTTGTCCAAGCAAAGCACCTCGCCCGATCGTCGTCCTGGCGTCGTCGGATGGGAGTTGAATGGGCACGAAGACAAAGGCGGGCCACTCGAGGACGCAGGAACGCGGAAGCGAGCGCAGTCGCGGGGAACTCCGGCGCGATGGGCGCCGACGCCGTTGGAGCGACGCGGTGGACGCCGGTGGCGGCGCGGGGACGTCAGTAGAGATGCCGCGTCCGCGAGCAACGCGTATCGACGACGGTGCCAGTTAGCCCTAGGGGTAGCATCGGGGTGGTTCCAGCCGAAAGTACGGCGAGGGGCGCGTCAGGACGCGGCTGACGCTCGCGCGACCGACGGAGCGTCCTCGACTTCCGCTTCGCCGTTCGAACCCGTCTCCATCGTCTTCTCTTCTCCGCTCTCGATCTCTCGCGACGTGTCGTTCTACCCGCGACGACGCGGTGCATTTAGACGAGCTTCGCGCCTCGATTACGCCGGAGAATCTCTGTAATCGGTGAGAAGATCGACGAGAAGCGTGAGATGAGAGACAAGGATGCCAGAAAGGATGTCCAAGAAGAATCCGGAGACAAAAGGAGAGAAACGTACGATAAGTAGACGCCGTTCAACGACGATCACCCTTCGCGTCCCTTCTTTCTATCCCCGAACGCGATCGATTTTATTCCTCGCCTTGGGATGAACGATTCTTCGTGTACGAGCGGCTCACGGCTAACCTTTCAGCGCGGCTAACAGCACGGCAAACGACGTTAAGCTACGAGATCATTTTCTCGCCACTTTGGAAGTGGTTTTCGTGTGGTTTCTTGATAAGGAAAGGAATCGATCGGGTGCTTTTCCTGGATGAAAGAAGGTTTCGAGCGAGATGGACGATAGAGATCGATCAGGACCGACCGGTTGATCCGACGATCGATAGACCCAGGGGTGTAATTAGGTGTACACACGGAAACTGCTTCCGAGGTTAAAAGGCGGGAACGATGATGCTCGAGAACGAGTCTCGAGCGTGGGAAACGTCGGAAAGGAAAATCGCTGAACGAGAAACGTGGACCTCGGTTTAACTGTAATTAGGATGCTGTAGCTTTCCGGTGGGAGTTCGCTCGAGTAGCGAGAAGTCTCTGAATCTTTAATTAACGTACTTGTTGAAAACGCGACGGTCCTTGGAAGACACGAGCTTTCTTCCATCTTCCCGAGTCCTGGGGAAAATTTACCACGAAAGCCTTTCGATCCTGATCCACGCGATTCACGAAAATCGATCGACCAATCGCGTTTTCGTCTACGCCAATGCGAGTAATCACGTTCTTGCAGCACAAAGAGCAACGGCGGGGAAATAAAGAAGATCGAGGAGCATTTGTGAAATGGGAAGACTCCGGCTTTGATCCGAGAACACGTTCCAAAGTATCCTGGGACTCGATTGTTTCAACGATGAATCGAGAAAACGAAGAAGTACGTTTGAATTGCTAATTTGAAGAATACTTCACGGGACAAGTGTTCGTACCACGTTCCTTTAGACTTCTTTTCTTTTCTCAGTCAAGTTCGCGGTTGTTTCGCTGTAGTAACGTTTAGAATGTTCGAATTTGAACTTGGGAAACGGCGGAAAAATCATACGTGAATGATCGATAATATTTCACTCCTATAGATGATCCTAAGAGTAATTTTGTCTGAATCATGATATCTCCGTAGCAGCGACCAGTCTCTCAAACCCTTTGCGGGGCGTTGCAAAAAGAACCGAATTGCAAATGTTTGGTGCTGTCCGTGTTAATATACGGATGCCTTGCCGCAGTGACGTGGTGTAGATGCGCGAATGTCACCAAGGTACGTCACTTCCTCTGCATTACGGAAACCCTATCCGAGTACTACTACGAAAACTTAACATTCGGTTCACTTGACCGTTCGTACAGAGAAAAAAAGGGATTTCTTGAGTGGTAATTGTTCGTAGGTGATAATCAATTTCTCGAGGTACCCAATTAAAAGCACGAGACACGTGTCTCCCTGCGACGATGGCTACATATACATCCCCGTAAGTATAGAGGAAACTTAATCCGAACCATCATTATCTATCAAATTGAAAAATCGATTTTCACGAAATCTTCAGGTAGAGATAAATTAAAGAATAGGTAAATTAAACTGCGGAAATTGGAAAAGTCCATAGTCGAGAGGTAGATTTTCATAAAATTTCATTAAAGCTGGCTAAAGCGATTAAAATCGAAAGGCCACCGAAAGACGGAAGTTAGGAAACGGAACCACGAGGAGATGGGAATTTGGACGAAAAGAGTCGCGTTTCCTTCCAGGTGGCGTTCATGGGGATGTTGTATTTGGTCTACCTAGTGGAGTGTTATCACTCGCCGATCAGGATCGATCTGCTACACGCTGAGAGCCAGGACAGCGTGTTATCCAAGATCTTGCAGTTAAAGTCAGCCCAGCCGACTATCTGGTGGAAGGCTGTTTCCTACCATTACGTGCGACGAAAACGTCAAATTACCCGGTACAGAAACGGAGACAATTACACGACGACGCAGGTAACGCATATCGCGCAACGTGCAACGCATATCTCGTAATCCAGACGAAAGGAAATCGCGGGATGGTAAATCGTTGATACGCTTCGCGCGAGCCTCGCCGAACCTTGTTGCGAGAATAGATGGACCATTCCCTCTCTTATCCTTTTCTCTCTTCAAATTTTTCCTTAATTTCATATCGTTACTCGTCGTTTCTTTTCGTAAAATAGAAGGTTCAGTAAGTATTCCGATAATTCCCTGATTTTTCCAGTAATTTTCACGAATAGTCTCCTCCGATATCCTTATTCAGCGATTATAGTCGAGATAGAGTTAACGAGGATTCAAGGACCTTCCCCCACCACGATTAGATTCGCTATCCCTACCCCCTCTATCTCGACTGTGCTTTAGAAATAAGCTATTAGTTGAATCCTTTTTATATTACTTTATTTCTAATTTCGTTTTTTAGTCATTTTTAGTAGAAAAAAGAGAAAAGATAGTTTAGTAAGATCTATTTTTGCTCAATGGCCCATCTATCCTCGATTTATCCCGCTTTCTGACACTCCTCGTCTTTCAGGTTTACTACGAGAGGATAAACACGCACGCTGCAACGTCCTTCTACTACTACGACTACTGCGGCGTTAAGGACATCAGCAAGGAGTTGATCATGGATCCAAAAGTGCCGATCACGAAGATCAATCTCAGTAAGGGATTCGCCTTTTCGAACATGAGATCGGCGACGGAGTTCGAGGAGGCTAGGTCGAGGTTCTTCGCGGAACAAGTATGACAAATTAAAAGTAGACGCTTGATCGGAATTCGAGCGAAATTCGATGAATCGAAATGTTATTTCAAGGAATTGAGAGACGATTACATGGAGATGAGAGAGGGATTAGATCTCGGGTACAATCCGAATCCTACGACACTGGTAGCTGTTCTTGGCAATCCATGGTTCACCAATCGCTACGTGTACTGGTGTCTGAGTGCTCTGCTGCTCAGCTGGCCATTGAGAGTGATCATAGAGTACAAAACGCAGTATGCAGATTATCAGGTGAGAACCCGGGTCCTTATGATCTTCGTTTCCACTCAGTTGTGTTAACTAAAGTTGTCGATTATCAGATCACCAAGCTGTTTGGAATTAACTACGATACACCCAGCGGAAGCGAGCCGATACACGCATCTATGAGCCAACAGACCATCAACCAGCCCGGTTCCTACATGCTGGCACCAAGCTATAGCGAAGCTCTTTTGATGGATCCAGCACCGGATCAACGACCACCCGAGTCCCAAGACACGAGTATAACGGAAATGGTGCCTAGTTATTCGGAAGCGTTGCTCTATCAGCGAGCAGAGCAAGGCTGCATCGTCATGAACCAGGAAGCGAACGAGGATTCGAACCGTAGATTAACGTCGCGCGAATGTTCCTGTCCCTGTCACGCCACCGCCTCTACTTTCGAGATGAATATACAAGACGAAGGATCCAGACAAGAAAACGGTCAATCGAACGACCAGAGTAGACAGCCATTGATAGAAACAGCCATCGAGGTGCACCCTTTGACCTGCACGTTGGTTAGCGAAACGGAAGCGGGAAAATGTGGAAGTTGCGGGAAATTTTTGGTCGAGGCGCAACTGGAGAATTCGGAGTTATCGAGAAGCGAATACAGCATGGACAATCCTGGACCCAGTTCAGCGAGGGCACCTCAGATCCTAAGAAGAGGGCCAAGAACTGGCGTGATACCTCGAGACATGTCTGAACCGAATCTCAGATCGAAGTCGGAAATGATCGAAGCTGATACGAGGTTCCTCAGATTTAACGGACAGAGTTTGCGGAATATCTTGGAGAACGAGCAAGAAGAAGAGCTCGCTGCGGAAGATAGAGTAGAAGAAATTAGCGGAGGTAAGATCAGTGAGCCAGGAAGGGAAGGAAAGTTCCGGCTATCCCTTTGTTCCCTGGACGAAACCAGTTCTCGAGCTAGAGTGGGTGTAGACGTGAGCAGAGGTGCCATACCGAAGAGAATAGTTAGCAGAAGCAGAGTAATTGCGAATCCCATGTCGAGCGAGAGTTACGGATTGCCGGATTCGAAAACGTATTTTTGCCTCAAGTCAATTCTTAAACAGAACAAGCGAAGGTATACTCTGATCACTGCGAGGGAGCTTCAGAACTTCTCCGACAAGGAGGACGATGATGTGGATAGGCGTTTAGACAATCGATCGTCGTACCACGAAGGTTGTACTCCTATCTGTGCTCCCAAGAACTCTGCCGAAGAAAGATATAGTCTGTTCTCGAGATCCAGGGAAAGTTTGGATGGTGCTCTGGGTAGGAGAAAGAAACAGTTCTTGGAGAATATATCCATGGATAAGAACGACGAAGCTGGGTCGAAACGCGAAAGCAGGTGAGTTTCTCATTCTACGAATACTTGCAATTTACTTCGCAATCGTTTTAAAGGATTCTCCTATTCTCTATGTCTCTTTACGATTAACACCATCCACCTATGAGATAACCAAAAATCGTCCAAGCTAATCGAACAACTCCTTCACGAGAACACGACTGTTTCTTCTCAGAACTCTCATCTTTGCGAGTCCCATACAAGAAGTCTGTCCTGGTGATCCTTTCGGCGGAAAAGACGTGGTTCGAACGCGACAAGAAGTGGATTCCACACCCACGGAGGAAGCACCGAATAACACCGTCCTCACCCAACTCGGAAGGTCTCTAGCCTGCGACCGGAAGTCGGCGCGACGCCGATTCCAAGACTCCCGTAGGCAACGTTACTCCGACATCTCTCAACCTTCTTCCTTTTCCTGCCCACCTGATCGCCAACATCCCTACCCATACGCCTTCTCGGCGTCCACAGACGCAGTGGACACGGTGGAGTTCAACAAGAGCCAAGCATCTGCTCGCGTCTACCAACATGGAGCATCTTTTCCACCCTACGAGGGATCCATTTCCGATCACACCGAGAAACTCAACGATCAATCGACTCAGATAGACAGAGTTTCGCCGGCAAACGTTTTCAGGTCGAACAGGAGAGAACTGACGCGTTCGTTGACGGAAAGACGAACGAAATCGGTTAGAGGCGACGCGAGTTTCCGTCGGAGCTTCACGGGAAGAGTGGAGGATTACAGAACGGAGAACAGCAAATGGGCAAATCTGAACATGGAGACGTCGTTATAACGAAGGGACACGAGATGGTAATTGTAAATATCCGTCCTGCCACTTTTCAACATCCTGTACATACAACGTAAATGCGATTTACGTAGCCCCGCCTTTGCTTCGAGTCTAGGAGAAAATTCATCTTTTTCCCTATTTTTCGTGAACAGAGGAGATTCAGGCGTGAAACGCAGTCGATGTTGCCAATAGGGGTTGTATTATCAACTTTTAAAGAAAATTCTCTTCTTTCGCGAGACGCGGCTTGCTAGGATCGCGAATGCAATTTGTAATTGATCCGGCGTCAATTATGCGCACAGTTTTTGCGTAAGCTTCGGTTAGCAATGAGGAGAGACTCTGATACGATAATCAGAGAAAAGGAATTTTTCGAGAGAGAGAGCTGACGATAGGATGAAAGCATTTTTAGCTGATATTCGCAAAATATGATAGCATGTTTATGCTACTGTCCATGGGGTTTCGATTATCTTTGAGTCGTATCGTTCCATAAGTTTTCTCGACCAAGTGTTCCGATCCTCAATCGATAGGGTGAAATTTAAGCAACCATTAGATCCGATAGATCATTTCGTACACTCCAAATAGCCAATAAAATGAAACAGATCGAAATTGCATTATAGTATAAATAATTTCGAAATTTGCTTCTTCGCAAATCGAGTTAAAATTTGGCTGAATGAATGAAAAATATAAAATATAAATTCAAAAATTGGCTCTTTCTCAATCACAAAACGAATATACCGATATTAAAGAAACGTGAGCTACAGAAATTAAAATAAGACGTGCAATCCACGTGGATAAAAAAGATAAAAATTACTGACTTTTTATTTTTCCAATGAACCGCAAAAGTTTCGAATATTTTCAACGATGAAATTTGCGGAGAAACAAAAATTTGCGTACTTTGCTGAAGCTTGGGGTAATTTTTCTTAAAGGCCCTGTTCATGATACGAAATTGTTATTTCGTCTGTACGTGGGTGTTTCGAAAACACAAGGGAGGTTCGTTCGAAATTTACCCTATCGTTCGAGGCTGTCGAAATGCTCGAAAAGCAGAAAATATGGAAACTGCGACGCGAGATTCGCTCCAATAAAATGTTTATAACAAACATTCGCTCAAATATAAACAAGGAAAACACGTAGATTTTACAAGCAAGAAGAAATATAAGCAAAACGAGGTAGAAATATGTAAATCGACAAAGGAAAATCCGTGCCGAAAAACGATTGAAAGTCTTCGCTTCTCCGTGCACATAGAATTACGGGAAAGGTACATAAGTGTATATATATACATATATATACACACACACATACATATATTTTTGTCTACATGTTTGCTCGCTGCAACAGAGAAGAAAGAAGCTGTCCGTAATTCCGATCGTTTTTACCGGTCTCTCGACATTTTGATCGAGCACTTTGTATTTATTAGACGATATACATACATACATACATACATACATACATACAAACATACATACATACATACATACATACATACATACATACATACATGCATACATATACTATTACTATTATAATATTATCGCGAGGAAAGAAAACGCGCCGTTAATGCTTTTAGGAGGATATTTTTCATATATTCGGATAATGTGTATCGATGCCAATTGCTGATCGTGATAATCATTGATAGAAATCATTATATCGAAGAGAAAAAGAATTTGTGATCGTGGTATAATTAAGATTCCAAAAAAGTCGTACGAATGAATAATAGATCGAATTAAAATCGACTTTACGAAATATTTAACTATGACATTTTATCTATTTTACATAGCGTGTAAAAAATATCGTTGAATATTCGTTTCATATGTACGAAAATAATGGGGAAAGAAATTAATCGTCTTAATTATACCATGAATATTTTCATCTATAATAAATTAATCGGAATTCTAAAATCTGTAATATGTGTGTGTACGTGTAATTTTACACGAATATTCACTCGTGACGAAAAGGAAGATTAAATAAGTGCTACTTATCAATCCATTCGATTTTAGGCGACCATGATGGAAAAAGGACAGTTATATCTTTATTCGAGATTCGACTCGTTTCAAGGTTAAAGAAAAATGGATAAAAATCACGACATATTTGTATAAACTTTTTTTTCCTCCTGTATATTAATCGATTTTGTCGTTTATTTTTCGAGAAATTTATTTATTCGAATGGATTGAAATTTATTACATGCATCGTAAGTATATCTACAATACGAAAATTTGAACGGTGGCTAGCTATTGAATCTGTACTTACTAATTCTGATTGCCAATTACGAAGGAAGCGACGAAATTTACTTCACAGTCTCAGAATTCTCGTCCAGATCGCAAGATCTTCCAAAAAACAACAAAAATTTCCACAAAATCGCGATATTTCTTCGATTTTTCACATTTAAACCACGCGTCGTACGCATATTCGCATTTCGAACCACCGAACGAGAATCACTAATATGTCGCGATAATCGCAAATAGGACGCGTCATCGTTTTAGCGCGAAATTCAAACGAACGAAAACGTAGCTAAACCGCTATGTAGATATAGGCTTGTTACAACTTGTTGAATGACGACCGACGAAGCATGTGATAAGAAAATCCGATACTCACGATATGTAAGTGTTAAGGTATCTCAGGATAACGCGCGTAATACTTTTTAAGTTTAATACGAATAACGTATAACAAATTTTTTGCTCCGCATATAATAGTATGTTCGATAAATACGTCTGACCAAGCCGACTGTCAAGAGGCACTTTCCGTAGTAATGGATGCCACAACGTGAGCAATGCAGCAACTAAATGCTAAATATTTAAAAAGATAGTTGCATCGTATTAAAATTTGATACCATAACATTAAAATATAAATAGAATTATTAATTAATGATTAACTAAATCACATCGTAGTAATTGTGAAAATAAATGATTCTATTACATAGGATATAAACTGACTAGCATCAAAAATCAAACCGTAAAATTTGAAAGTGTCTCTTCCAACGAACTATTCGAGCCTTCAGCTTTAGAAAAATTCATCGATTCATAGTTTTATAGTCGCAAATCTAGGCTGTATGAGATGATCGACAATTTCAGCATCAAATACAGAAGTAAAAATTATTTAAGTTCAAATAATCGTATTGTCTTGAAAGAGAAGGGGAAATAGTACGAAAACTTGGCTATTGCAAAAAAGAAATTGCACACGAGAGAACTTTTATAGATTATTGCTTAACGTTCATGCCAATTCACTCGATGTAACTAAACTCTCGACGTATCGTACAATGTTTAAGAACAAAAAGGTACTCATGCCGTCTTAAAAAAGTGCTCTTCTAAATAAAAAAATTGTTAATATACGGCGAATTGTCTATTATTATGCGATAATTGGGAACGCGTTTATATGCGATGCATATTCGTAAAAGCCTGTAATTGTATACTGCTGCGTATGTAACTATTATAATTATTATTAACGACGATATACAAATCATTCTTGTAAAAACAAAAAAAGACAAAAAAAGACGAACGATATGGTTATAGTAAAATAAACGTTGACACGAAAAAGGAACTTGTTTCCTCGAAGAACTTGAAACTTTTAATTAATCTTTTACATGAATATAAAAATGACGTGGAAAAGTGAAATACTAAAATATTTTGATTTCAATGTATTTTTCTAAAACGTGGGACAGTATTAATAAAAGTATAAGATACAGACACGAGATAATAACAAAGACAGACTAAAATCTTTACCACAAAAAAAAACAATTATTATGCATATAATCACCGATACATTACTGGCATAATATACAATCGAGTACGACACTAATATATCGGATTATTAAAGTAATTCATTACGATATACGGTTTACTGTTATTACCGACGTTTATACATTTCATTTTTCGTTTTACTTCCTTTCTTATAAACATCCATGGGAGGGGGAACAATAGGAACCTTTTTTTTCTTTGTGCCCACTTTGCTTGCCATATTAAACAATAAAGTGTCTTTACATAACTATAATAAGTATATTTTTTTTTTCTTGCAAACACGGCTTTTTTATGTGAACAGAAATAAGATATAGGACTCTTCGTTTAGTCAGACTAGCAATATCAGCATATCATCGCATCAGGCTAGTTCTCAAAGATTGTACGGTCAGTGAATCGCAGTGGCTTTTCTTTTCTTAATAAAGCTAATTTTTCACATAGCCATTTTGTGTGTAATAGACTCGATAATAAAGCGTTTTACTTCGCCAAAGTGAATATGAATTATCGAATTTAAGAAGATACACTCCCTGTAAAAAATTGATATATATGATTGGCATTATACTTTAAATACACATATACATAAAAATAGCATAGTTTTAAAAGAATATTCCATTACCTGTCCTGGATATCTATGACTTCCTGCATAGATTTCTTCTTGTGAGTCCCTCCTATAAATCTACAAAATCATCAAACAAGTATCAATATACCAGTAACACGAAAATTCTATTTCTATTATTCGAGTTAAATATCATATCTATGTACTTACAGGTACTATCACACTTATAGGTGGTGGCGATGGTTTATAGTCAGATTGAATTGTACCATTTGTCACACCACTTTCTAAATCCTCTCGTGTTTCATAATCATCATCCTCTTCATCCTCATCCTCAGATTCACTAATATGTACGGATACTTGATTAGTTTCTGGTTTTGACCATTCAAAATAGACTCCAAAACCAATATCATAGCCATCTGTTGCAAATTCCCAAAATAAACAAGAGCCATCTTCGTGTGTTGGCACCCTAACAGTTACTGTTTCTCCATGTCCTACTTTAATAACTGCATCACCATCTTCTCTTCTAATTGTATCTTTGAATTCTTCTACACCCTTCCTAGTCCACATCTCTGCTCGAGCTATAGGTGGACAATCATCCTGTAGTTCATCAGAATCTTCTTCATTCAATGGAGCTGTTTCATTGGTCTCTGTATGCTCCTCCTTTTGAGTATTTTCTATCGTGGTATTGCTTATTTCTGGAGTTTGATCTTCTATAACTAACTGATTTTGACGCAATTGTTGCATATACTGATGATAATGTTGTTCTTGCAATTGCCTTATTAGAACACCCTGTTGCTCTGGATTTCCAGGATACTGTTGCTCTGCATACATTTTAAACTGAAAATATGTTTGTTGATTTAAGGCATCTTGAATTTGTCTCCTTTGTATTTCTTCTTTTAATCTAGCTTCATCTTCTTTCTTCTTTAGTTCTTCTAATTCTTTTAACCTTCTTTCTTCTTCTAATAGTCTTGCTTCCTCTTCCTTTCTTAACCGTAATTTCTCTTCGATATCTCTCTTTTGTGCTTCCACAACTGTTCGAAACAAAGGACATAGCTTGTCCAACAAAATTATAAATCCTTCCATTGCTTGTTCCTTGGATATATCTCCTAAATTTTGCCATGCCAAGCGTCTATTTTTTCCTATTACATCCAACACACCCAAAGGTGGTGCATTTTCTGCTGTACACTTGCCATGCGTTACTTGTTGCGTAAAAGCCACCAACTTCAATTTATCTTCATAGGACAAATGGACAGCTTTACCTTCCTTTTCTATAATTATTACACAATTCACATAACGTCACATTGATATTAAAATAAGATAATCAAATCTAATCACTACCCAACTGATAAAAAAGAATCAACACATATACACAAAATCAACAGACAGTGATCACAAGTGAAGTTCTCATGAAATTCTATACTTCAACCTACAAACATGTTGTAAATATATGGCATAATAGTACAATAACACATCTCCATACAGACACGTAATTTTTCTGACATAACTTAAAGAAACGAATAATGAAACTATTTGAGTAAACTGTCAATATGACTTACTCACCTTTGTAAAAATTGACCGCAATTTTGTACAGTTCCCTAGTTTCGAAACCCCACAAACGGGGTTCCATGTTCTTTCCACTTTCTGTATCAATCTCATTCTTTGTCGAATTGTCCGCGGAAATCGCCAATTTTTCAATCTTCTTTCCTACCAAGGAAATGTCACCATTGGTGCCCGCCATTTGCAATTGCACTGACACGTCAAATATTAATGCAAGAACTGCCCTAACCTTCGATTTCTAAAAATGTGACACATTCGAAACATTTTCAAAAACTTAACACAATAACTATAAAAGAAGTATTGTACTTGCAAATATGTATTATCAGTACTGTAGTAACAGTACTGTTACGGTGCCATTTATATATGTACAATATTCATGACATAAGCACTTGTCTTTATTGGTCAACTGTTACATTGTATACTACATTGAATTATAGTGGGAAGAAACTGTCGACACAAAATATCCAAAATCATTAAACAATTTAGAAAATAAAATTGATTTAAAAAGCTAATATTTTAAATATAGAATAAAATTTCTTTAGAAACAATTAATTAAAAACCGGTCCTTTAACTCGAGCGGGTAATTCAAATCCATTAAACTCGCGACAACTTTTACGAAGTTCATAATAAAAATAAAAGAATATTAAATAAATAAGAAATATTAAATATTCAGTGCGTAGCTCTTAGCTTGGCATCGTTTGTCAAAGATGTACATATCAAGTATTGCAAAAATTATGAGATCAAATTTATTCAGAAAAATATGGAAATACATCTTTGACAGACGATGCTAATTACCAGATCTCACCACATGGAGGTGGCTACGCAATCGAGACCCATGCCTAAACACATTATTAAAATATAGTATAAAACGCAGTACAAAACACAGTAAAATAAATAATATACAATAAATGAATGTAATCTTTACTACAAAATAAATTACAACATAAATTACAAATTATAAGATGCCTATCATCTGCAACAAAGAAAGAGCAATTAGTAATGACATCACAATAAAAATTGAGTGGGAGAATTAGTAGTTGCATAAGATTATTGGAATATGAAATAGGAAATAATCTTTTGAAAATGACACACGCACTGAAACTTATGGCGCTTAAAGGGTCGCAACAATAGTGAGAAAAATAACATGAGCAGCCATATAGGGCACTATATTTCTCGCGACTCCGGTTTTTTAAATTTTATGTCAAATATATCGAATTTCAAGGGATTTTGACGTATCCTCGATTATACTGTGCACAGTATGCACAGCAGTACTGTACAAATGTGCAAGTTAAAATGAAGCAAAGTAGCGAGCATTTTAATTCGAGGATTTCGATAAAAATATAAGGAATTCCAAAATCAATGTAACGACACTAATAATTTTAAAACATTTGAATTATTAATCTGATTTTGGTAATTACTCCAAGGGGTATGTTTTTTTGTATTTGTATTCCGTAAAAATCCCGCGAAAGAACTATGACGATAAACGAAATGAACAACCAAAAGTTTTTAAATTCCTATTTAGAATAGAAATCAGAAACTTTTTCAACCCCGATCCTAATTCACGATCTACAAAAAAGCCCTAGCCCAATCCAACAAATATATCATAGAAATATATATTGAGTGAGTGCTATTGTACATTAGTACTTTAGCACTCGTGGTCACTATGCTTGCTATGAGAATAATAAAATACAACCAGTCACCCGTGCCGTTTCGGACCATTCGTCCTACGACATGATGGGTAACCAGAGGAATTGTAAACATGCGACTTACCGAACGTTGATTTCTTCTCCATATCAAGGTAGCTGTGGATTGACTGTCTCCATCGTCCTGGCACCAGCTCTGTCATTGTGTCCTTCCTCTGCCACGTCGTCAATGTAGCGATGTCAAATACTGGTTGTAATTCCTTCTTCTTTTCTTGGAACACTTTCACAACACACTCGCGATATCGCGGACACGTACAAACTTACTTCGACCGACAACGAGTAAAAAAAATCGCGTATAAAATCGTTCGAACGCATACGATTTAGTAGAATTAGGGTAATAATTTAGTTGTTATAAAAATATTTAATGTCCACAAACACCAATGAAATTAAAAAAAAAAGAGTAAAATATTTATTCAATTATTAAGGAATTAATCAGAAACAAAAGTAGAATGAAGTAATTAAATGAATAATTAAAAATTAAAAATAAAT